TTGTTGGGAGGACTGGTAACGGTAAGAGTGCTACTGGGAATAGCATTCTTGGAAGGGAAGCCTTCGATTCCGAGTACAGCTTATCGGCAGTTACTTGTTCTTCTGAGCTTAAAAAATTTATGCAGAAAGGTGGTCGTACTGTCAACACTATAGACACTCCAGGTAATGTATATCATTTTATTGATCTATGAATATTCATTAAGTTAGAAGAATGCATGCATATACATTTTTTAATCTTTGATTTTGGAATATGATATGTACTAATATTGTGAGTAAGGCAATCATCACTTGTTAGAGGATAAAATTTGTAAGAACCGCTATTATTGAGAACTATAAAATGGACATATAACAAAAAAGGCAAAAAAATATGAATCAAAATTTCTTATAAATTGTTGTGGCAGTATTTGCGACTTAGGACATATGCTTCAATATAAGTTATTGAACTTTATATATGTCGGTTTTAATTAAGCATGGTAACCAAAAGAAATGTAAATGACCCACTTACTGCTCTTTTCTGGCTGTAGTGGTAAACATTTTGCTTTATTCATGCACACATGTGGAGGTAAATGCATAGTTCTATTAATGAGTTCATTTCCGGACTCACTACCATAATTTTGTATTTAATTTATTTATTTAAACAAATCAATAAAAACCAACAATTTCTCATAAAGGTTTGAAAACAATTTCATAGGACTGAGAACTATATATATATATATTCAAGATAATCATTTTTATATAATAAAATTTATTATCACATTGCTTTATTTTGTTTGACATATTTTTTTGTTGCTATAGTTTATATTTTATTTTCTAAAGAAAATTTTAGAAAAATATACGCCTAATAGCCGTTTAATTTGCTGAAAAAAGAATCAATAGTTAAGTGAAATACGATCAATATATTTGGATGCAGTTTACAACTCAACAATCTGATGAGTTGTGAGATATATATATACAGGGGCGGAGCCACGGTGGGGGCACTGGGGGCATGTGCCCCCACTGGCCCGCCAGAAAGTGAAGAGACCCACACAAATGCCTCGGTCAGCTGAACGGAAGGAAGAAGAATAGTGATAAAGGGGCTCGGCTTCCTGGACGGCAGCGGCAACTGTGCAGTGGCCGGCATCGAGACCTGCTTGGCGATGTGAGCATAGTAAGATGGTGATGGAGAAGACGTTGACTAATACGAAGGAGAGCTGAAGTGTTTTGAAGAAAAGGGCATTGCAGAGAATGAGCATTTCACACTCATGATTAAAATTCTCTGCGCTCTCTGTCCTTCAATCTCACCTTTCTGCTGAGCTCATCGACACCGTCCAAGCCATCTTGCTTTAGGACTATTTTACTGATATATATACACGTGTAGTTGCTTTTAATGAATATATAGTACTGTTTAAACCTTCTTCTACTTAATTTCCTTTTCATTACCTTTGGCTTTATCAGCCTCATCTATTAAATTTATTTTGATATTAATTTCATATATGTATAGTTTATTTTCCACTAATATTAAAATAATTTTAATAAAATTTTTGCTAAATTAAATTAGGCTAAGTTGGGCATTTTTTTTTCATTTTAAATTTAATGTATTTGAAAAAAAAATGTTTTTAATTGATTGAAAGCTAAGCAGCCCCACATAGTGGATAAATATTTGTTGCTATTTTTTTTTTTAATATTTATGCTTGTTGCTAATTGTAAATATCGGCCCCACTTCGTAAAAAATAAAAATATAATTATTTTTTATATTATTATTATTACTTTTTAATTCAAATAGAATTATAATTTATCATCCTTACTCTTCTATTTATCTTCTTATAATTATGATTTTTATATGAAAAAAAATTATGATTGCAATTATTAATGAAAAAAGATATATTTATATAATTTAATTTGTGCCCCCACTATAAATAATTTCTGGCTCCGCCCCTGTATAAATGACAAACTAATATCCAACCCAAATTTACTACTGTGACATTTCAAAATAGCAACCATATACACATTAAACCCTTGCCAACTCGATCAAACTCCAAACCAAACAATTTTCCTAATCCACTTCAAATCTGACTGCCATTATTTTTCTCTCACCTTTCTCTCTTATTTTGGTTATATACCTTATTGCTTTTGTTTGACCTACTTATTTATCCATAAGAAATAATCTACAACTCTCAAAATTTAATTTGTTTGATTTGTCAAATTTTGCATACTTTGCTCAAATATTTTTTTGTGGAGTGATAATACGCTAATCTTTTTCCATTCAAAGTTGAGCTTGATGATAACCCTTTTTACTTTGATATCATTTTATCATGTCAAGACTTATCTTATCCTCGATTGGCTTTAATAAAGTATATTTAGTTGAAAATAATGATGCTAGCATAAATTACACCCTTCATTAAGATTGTCAGCACCATCAATTTGAGCAATCATTATAAATCCACTTGTTTGATTAAGATATATATTTAACTTCATCAAAATTTGGGCATTGATGCTACTTAGACTTACCCATTAAAGCTAAGGTAATTAATAAATAACAAAATTTCAAAAAAGATTTAGCATGATTCTCCACCATTTAACCATTCAAAGAATTACAATACTCTCAGAATGAGGAGCCTTTTGCCCAATATAAATCTTAAATGTTACAACTTATTTATGTAGAATATGAGTTTGCAAAAAATCAAAATGCTCTTCATGGAAATGCTTGTAGTACTCCCAAGGGGCAAAATATAGGTCTCTTTGGTGGTTCTTTTCATCCTATTTTTAAGCTCTTATCTTTTTATTTCAAAAAAAAAAAAAAAAGAAAAAAAAGAATGAATCATCATAGTTAAAAAGTATATTGGCCATGTATTCATTTAACTTTTATGCATATTTTAATTGAATCTTTTATATTAAATATACGATAAAGTTAATTATTTTTAGTATTCATTAAAAGCCCAATTATATATAGAAAAAAATGATCATATATGTATTATAATATACATACAACTACAAAATCAAGCTTTTATCCTTGAGGTCACCTACAATAATCCTTTTTCTCCATTTTCTCCATTGTGTCATGCTAATTGTCAAATTATCATTTAAATCTATTATAAAATGTCATTTCAAATATTTTCTAGCCAACTTTTTTTAGGTAGACCTCTACCTTTCTGATAATCAAAGAGCATTTCTAATTTTGTCTTATCAATACCTATGTCTGATGATGTATTTATGATAGCTCTAGAGTTTTTTATTGATATTAAAACTGACCCAAAATTTAACTAGAAGATTATACAGGAGATTGAGTTGCACTTGTGTCTATAGAGTTTTATGCTAATGTTATTGCTCCTTGAGCTTTATATATGGTAATTTTAAGCTGTTTCTCAATCTCTTATGTTGTTTCTAGCTTCATCTTGACGCTCATGCATAACGGAGTAATATAATAAGATGTTTAGATTCTCCACTATCTATTAAGGTTATTATATACATCACAATTCAATTAACCATTTTATGACCTACCTCATCATTCTCGTAGGTTTACTTCATATTGCCACTATCATCAAAATCATAATATATTTCTTGAATTTGAGTCAATATAATCCCAAATTATAAATATGTTCAATTTAGCCTCTTACTACTCCCATGCGATTTAAAGCTATCTGTTGGATTATTTATGCTTCCAATTTGAGGAGTTGAGGGCTAATTTTAGATTAAATTGGAGTAATCAAGGAACAAAATTGAATACAATAGATATATATATATATATCTTGAATTTGAGTCAATATAATCCCAGATTATAAATATGTTCAATTTAGCCTCTTACTACTCACATGCGATTTAAAGCTATTTGTTGGATTATTTATGCTTCCAATTTGAGGAGTTGAGGGCTAATTTTAGATTAAATTGGAGTAATCAAGGAACAAAATTGAATACAATAGATAGTATGGCATTAAGATGGCTCTCATAAATAGTTAAAGGTCTATTTTAATATTTTTTTGCTATTTTTAAACAAATTATGTACTTGTATTTTTTTTATTAACACAAGCAACAATTGTTGTCTATTCAAATTTATGACTCTTATTTACAATTGTTCGCACAAACTATCCCTATCTTTTAGTATATTTAATTAGCTTGTGCATTGTTTTTTAAAATTGAATTAGTTAAAGCTAAATTTGATGATAAGATTGATTGACCCAACCCACATTTAGCGATTTAACTGCTTTCTTTGCTTATGATTCTAACCTAAGAAACATGTTATAGAAAAATTTCAAATTCCTTTCTATATTGGTATGGATTAGAATATTGGTAGTATTCTAATCACTTAATTTTGGCCATGGATATCTTTGTAGGCTTGTTCAATTTTTCTACTAGTGCTGAGGAAATATGTGGGGAGATAGTCAAATGCATTAGTTTAGCCAAAGATGGCATTCATGCAGTGCTCATGGTATTCTCTCTTAGATCTCAATTCTCAATAGAAGAGGTGGCTGCCTTTGAGAGTATGAAATCACTTTTTGGGGAGAAGATTGTTGACTACATGATTATAATTTTCGCTAATGGAGACATATTGGAATCTACACAGAAAAACTTGAAGGACTTTATTAGCCTTTCTCCAGAACTTTTGAGGGTATGCATCTTTCTTTTTATAATATTTATTGCCAAAATATTTCAGGGTTTGTATATATAATTCTTTGTGGATGAATCTCATAGTGTTATGTACTTTATATTTCAAATACTTAGTTATTATGAATAACCATATAAGTTGATGATTCAAACATTTCACAAGTGTTTTAATGAAATGTATTAAAAATGACTATTTAGAAGTAGATGTTATCATTTCAATAGTAATCTACAATTTTTTTTCCTTACAATCATTTCAATAATATTAAAATCATTAAAACTTTACCAGAAATCTTGTCATTTAAAAGCATAACTAGCTAAATGAATTTGGTCAATTTAAATCTTTAAACTTATTTTTTATTTCTTTTATCTGGTACAATTATTTTCCATTCTCCATAATTTTTTTGCAGAACATCGTTCAAATGTGCAAGAATAGAATAATTGTTTTTGATAATACCAACAAGGATATGATTAAGAGAGAAGAACAACTAAATGAGCTACTCTTGCTTGTTGAGTTTATTATTGTGGACAACGGTGGAAAATCATACTCAAAAAAGACCTTTGCAGAACACAAGGTATGTCATCTCTGTGTTTCATACTTTATAGTTGGCAGCTGTGATAGATGCAAAAACTTGATACTTCATATTGGGTATTGCTTTCATTAGGAAAGAGCTTTACTTCAACACCAAAATGTTAAAGAAGTTGAAGCTAAAGAAGGATCCTCAAAAGATGAGTTATCTGAACATATAAAAGGGAAGCGTGCATATGATGATCAACAGAAGGGTGTAACTGAGATAGTAAGCTCATTTAAGCATTTAAGTTCTATTGCTTCTATGTTTTCAAAGTTGATAGCTGTGCAAATCTTGATGCTACTATGAGTTATGTCGTCGAGTCTTATTTTTTGGCCATTTAAATTGTTCATCAATTATATTGACATTCTTCTTTATTTTATCTATGCTCTGACACAATGACCTTATTTTTTATTGCATATAGGTAAAAGAAATGGTAGAATTCTGTACATGTGGGTTTTGGGAGCAGCTGGCAAAAGAGCAAGCTGCACAGCTGGAGGCTGAAGAACGAGCTGCTCGATTGGAAGAAGAAAGGATTGGCCAGGAATCATTGAAGGATAAGGAGATTTAGAAGCTCAATGAGGAGATTCAGAAGCGCACAGAGGATATAAATGTGATAAGAAAGCAATATGAGGAGTCCGAGAAGCGTAATGCTAAATGCGAGTGTACTATCCTATAAATTGTGATATCTTGATTATGAAACAATAACTATATACTTTTCTAGGGAAGAACTTATCACTAATCTATTGAACAATTTGGTTTGCAAGCTTGCTACAAATCATTTGTCATTTATCATTATAGTTGCTTTGTTTTAATTATTGTTACTATCAAGTTAGACATAGTTAGATTGCAAATATTTATAGTATAAGTTATTTTATATAATCATAACATATATTTTTTTGTTCACCACTTTTGAATGTATAAATCATTACCATTCATGATTGATGTCCAATATCACCTTCGAACATGTAAGCCATGATTGACAGACAAACTGCACCAAGGGTGGTGGACCTGGTGGAATGGGTGTGAGCTGCATAGCACCACTAAGATACATATGACCTCCTAAATTTATTGGATTCACAGGCTGTTAATTCATTATTAAGAAATAACTAATTAAGCATACCATTTGTTAGTTCTGCCATTAATTTATTGTTGATCTTTCACCCACAAAAAAAATTCATAACTTGTGTGTGAACTTTCATGTGGATCTGTTGAGGCTACACTATCATTTCTTTTATAAAAGACAACACTGCCTATTTTTTGCACATTAAATCTCCTTTATCACATCGTTGCGGTTAATTAAACTCGCTCATGCTTGTTTATGGTTGTCTTGTGCAGTAACAAGTGCTAAAAAGTATTGCAGTCCATATTACACAGTTACCACAATAAAATGATTGTATTATTAGAATACTAAATAATTGAATAGCTTCTAAGACAGAATGATGGTGGGCATTGAAGTTAGCCTTAAGGTAATTTGTAATCCATGTAGCTGCTTGAATGAGAAGGAAATATATCGACCTTCAGAGAGGGAAAAGGGCAGGTAACGTGTATTAGAGAAAGACAAGAAAGTTCAGGATTCCAGGCAGGGGAGGTCTGATGATGTCGAGAGCAAGTGTCAACGTTTCAGGAGGGGGCATACTAAGGTGGAGTGTAAAAAAGGATTATGGATAAAGATTATGAAGACTGCATGGTAAATGATATACATTTGTTGTTAGGTTTGAGATGTTGTATCGATATGATTATTGGGTAGTTAAAATGTTCTTGGTAGTCAAATATAGCAGTGCATAAATGAGAATGATAGAATATACATGAAGACACAACTATGAAGGATAAATTGATTAATGATTTGAGAGTCAATGGGGATAGATTCCTTAAATATAAGATACTGGAAAATTAAATTTTGGTTTATTGTTTATATCTTTATTTTCACTAAGTTCAATCAAGTATTGCATGACTTCAAGTTTATAACAACAACTTATGTATGTCAATTATTTATCAATAATCAGATCTTAAACTGTATGAATTGGGAAATGGCTATTGGATTAAGATTTGTGATCTGATAGTTGGTTTTTCCATAGCTCTTTCAATCACTTCGCCTCATGTGCATGTAATTTTCTACACTTTCTTTTTGTAAAAGGGGACGAAAGTGGTTACTGTCGTTGAAGAATTCGAATGCGAAGCGACGGAGATGAGAATCCGAAAGCAGATGGGAAGAAGAAAAGTTAGAAGTTGAATAGCTGGAGAGTTTGAGCAATGCGAAGCCCTAACGTTATGGAGGTAAGAGACGTTAGGAGAGGTTTGAAGATGTCGTAGAGGGAAGAACTGGCTGGGAGCAGGGGTGTCAATATTTGACACGACACGAAAACCCGACCCGGAAAATCCGGGTTGAACCCGACCCGATTTCAAAACGGGTCGGGTTCGGGTTCCAGAAATCGACCAGTTTCAAAAACGGGTCGGGTTCGGGTTGACCCGGCGGGTCAACTCGCCAACCCGTTTAATTCGAAAAAATTTGAATCCTGCCTCTGTCCGCTGCCCGTCGCGCGCGTCCGCCAGCGCCTGCTCATGTGCATGTTATTTTCTACACTTTCTTTTTGTTCTGTCTACATATTTCCATGTTTTTTGGCCTACATGCTACTTCTTTCAAGTCCAATTGTTTTTCTTTGCTTCAACATAAAATGCTTGCAGTTGATTTGTTGAATTATTTTGTCATCACGACTGGCTTTTATTGGGTGGCCTGTATCTTGCTATTAGTCTTTGGTCATTTGCGTAATTTAACCATTTGGCTAATTGGCTTCGAGTTCATTACTAATATAAATGATTGCCTTCATTTTTTATAGATTTAGCTTGATAGTATCATTTGTTAATCTGCTAGATTGCTTGTGCTTTGCTTACGTGCATTTCTATTAAGTCAGTTAAGTTTGTCTACCTATATTAATTAAAATAAAGAAATAATGGTTTCTCTAATAACGTCTCTAGCGGGTGTTCGACTGTAGGCGCGTGTTCGACTGTAGGAGTAAGAGTAAAATTTTAAAAAAAAGTGTATTTTTTGTGACTGTATACAACACCCAACTGTAACATGATGAGCTATTGAAATTGTTCTGGCTAAAGTCACCTGATTTCCTTCCACCCTCGTAAACTATGATCCTTTTATAAGGTCCCACATCCGCATCATTGTTCCTACCTTAAATAAGTTTAAATTCTAAGCAAATTAGGATATGTTCTTACCACCAACACAAACTAGCGATATAGAATTAAATCAGGAGCATTCACACTCTTCAGTGTTCTTTATTTTTTATTTTATTTGTTGATCTTGCACTCGTTCTGTCTTTTATTTTATACCTAGGAACATTGTGAAT